AAAGAGTGTAGAGGCTCTCAAAGGGGGATTGCTTTTAAAGGGCCAGGCCTAGAAATGGCGAACACCATTTATGCTTACATTCTGTTGGCTGGAACTCAATCACATGGCCATACCTGATTGCAGGGGAGGCTGAGAAGTGAATTCTAGCTTCACGTCCAAGAAGAAGAAATGGATTTGATGATCAGATTAGCTCCAGTTGTGCAAGAGACAAGATAGCCCAGCTGAGTGCAAAACCCCAGTGTAGGTAGAGGAGATGGCACCACATAGGGAACTAGGGACTTGCCCAAGGGCCTTGGGAACAGCCAGGAGGGAGTGAGTCCAGGACAGGAGAGAGTATCTCCACGATGTGGAGAAGGTGGTTAATAGTGACAAATGCTACAGAGAAGTTAAATAGGATGCGTGCTGCCCACCCAGGTAGAAAATAACTACGCTGTATAAACACGTGCCCAGATGCCGCTGCTGGGTTCTCACCCTTGACTCCTGTTTCTTGGTCTTGTGTGTTCACTGGTGGATCCTGGTATTGACACTTCTCTGTTGCTGAGCTTTGGCTTCTCTTCTCCAGTATTATTCCTCCACCATCCCTTCCGTTATGCTGCACTCGGTGTTCCAGGTCAACACCCCAGCCCATCCAACCAGTCCGCCTTGAGGCTCTACCATGGAGAAAGCCTTCATTTCTTTTCAGAGTTGCCATCATGCAAACAGGATTCATGAACAAGGACCACCATTGCCAATTAACTGAATTGTTAACTGAAGTGAGATGTTTCCATGGAGTGTTGAGCTGAGAGGAGAAGGGGACCAAGGGTAAAAGTTTTAACTGACATTAGTCACAAGGAGAGGAGACTGGCAGAAGGAGTAGAAGGAGCTCGGGGTCTACAGTCACATTTGTTCAGCAGTTTAAAGGTAATTTTCTAAACATAGGTCAAATCTTTTAGTGAAAAATAAAATTTTTCTCTATAACCACAATAAATGTCTATATATTGCAAGTCAGTTCGAATTAACCTTGCTGAGCCACAGAAAAGAAAATTCTCAGTTCCACTTAGAATTCCATTAAGGATTCCCTTGCTAGCACGGTATGGGGAATGTTAACTGACAGTCTGTAAATGTGAACGAGGATGTTTTACTTCCACGTCGACCAGTATGCTGTGCGAAAATCCAGAGACAAATCATCATGCCTTTCAGTCTCGCTGTCTTCAAAGGGAGCCTTGCTTTGTATTGTCCCTTTGAGTAAGGCCAGTGACAAAGTCTAGCCCTAACTCACTAAGTGATGCTCCTCAATTATTGGGAAATAAGCTGTATCTTCCTCAAAGGGAGCCAGAGCCAAAGGAATGTACATTGGAAGGAATAATCCCAACTGCTCTTGGAAATAGATGACTTTCCAGTTAGCTGTGGCTTTTCAAGAAAAAAGATGTAGGTTCTGTTAGCACAGAGCTCCATTATAGCATCTGTTCAGAGGGCAGGAATGTTGACATGGACACACACACACACACACACACACACACACACATGTAAATTAAAATGGAATTTAGAGTGATTTAGGAAAAAATTATAATTTTGGGAGAACATAAATCAGTCTGTCCTTGACTTGAATGTTTCGCTGTTGCTGCTCATATAATTTAATAGAAAGCAGAGCCCAAAATAGAGAAGGTCCAGAGGCGGCAGTACAAACAAGAGGAACCCAAGAGAGAGGATGTGATTCTAGAATCAAAACCAAGAAAAATGGAGAAGCCTCATCCTGTTGTACTTAAAGAGGAGCAGAGAGATATAGAGACGGAGGCAGAAAGAGAGAGACAGAGGATTGATACAGAAAATAACAAAAGGAATAGCAAATGGCAGGTGGAGTGGCTACTAAGTTGATTATATTGAGAAATAGAAAACTTTGTATTGAAAAAATGTGTCCTCTTACAGGCATAACATGTAATTAAGCAGCTGGATATTATTGTAGAAACAATTGTATCTTGAAATGCGTCATCTGTCACAGGATAATAGTGTCTGCACTTGCAACGTAATTAAGGAAAAAGCTCTAGATCATAATGCTTTCCTAGGAAATGCACAGCTGCTGGAGGTGGGGTGGGAGGAGAAGGAGTCAGCGGCTGAAGTGTGGTGTTGACAGCTAAGCCTGTCGTGGACCATTTGCGTCTTCCTGGGCACTAAGAATTCTAGCATCTGGGACTGGAAGCTCCTGATTGGTTGACTTCTTCCTGTTATTCCTGGTTAGCACACCCTATGCTTGGGGAAAAAAACCCCGCACGATTGGATAGATTTGGATGAGTGTAATTTAAAACATTTTAAAAAGTGACCTGTAACCATGAAATTACTGTAAGATAAACAGTGGTCTAAAGCATTAGGAAGCCGAAGTGAAAAAAAAAAAATTTTTTTTTTTTTCAGCTGGATTGTTTTTTGTTTTTGTTTGTTTTGGGGTTTTTTTTTTTGGCTGCACTGTGAGGCTTAGTTCCCCGACCAGGGATCGAACCCAGGCCATGGCAGTGAAAGCACAGAGTCCTAACCACTGGACCACCAGGGAATCCCCTCAGCGTGATTGTTATGTTTGGAAATGGGATTCTGAGAGCAGAATAAAAATACCAAATTTAATCAGATCTGACTACGGAAATTGTAAGACACATTCTGATTTCACGGTGACCTTAAAATGTGAACGATGTTCAGAATTGATCACACGTGGTATTCTGATACAATGGCACACGTACGAATATGTGAGCATAATGCACATACACACACACACAAATAATTGATTCTTCAGTTTTACTGTCATTTTCCTGTCTTTTTTCTCCCCACTTTTTCTGCATGTTCCTCTTATTCATCTGTTTCTATTTCTTAACTTACCTACTTTTCCCAAATTAGATGTGTCTGTCTTTGTTTATTCCTTTCTCTTTCAACTTCAAGTAACGCCGGTGAAACAAAGGAATATGGATGTTGTTATTGGTTTTCACCGTGTGCATATACGCCTGTTAGAACTCGGAAAACCATCTTAAATTTTGTTTCCTCCCGATCCTGCCTCTTTTTCATCCTTCCCCGTTTCAGACTTCCTGTGGACTGAAAAGTGGGACTCTTCCTAGCCCGATTTCTGGCACAGATGCTTGTGGCCTGTGGGGTCTGGGAGCCCGTCTGGCCTTGGACCTCTGAGGAGCAGGCTTTTTTTATGCTCCATGTGGGATTTGAGTGGCCATTAACCCTGCAGACCAGGTTGCTGTGGGACCCCCGCACGGTTACGTTTGAAGATGATTCTAAGTGATGTGGAACATTTGTTGTGCATTTTCTTCTGTGTCCGTGTTTCTCTAATTTGAGTGTGCAATAGAATCCCCCCCCCGGGAGGGCATGTTAAAACACAGACTGCTGGGGCTTCCCTGGTGGCGCAGTGGTTGGGGGTCCGCCTGCTGATGCGGGGGGGCGCGGGTTCGTGCCCCGGTCTGGGGGGCGTCCCGCGTGCCGTGGAGCGGTTGGGCCCGTGAGCCATGGCCACTGAGCCTGCACGTCCGGAGCCTGTGCTCCGCAGCGGGAGAGGCCACAACAGTGAGAGGCCCGCGTACCGCAAAACAAAACAAAAACAAACAAACAAAAAAAACACAGACTGCTGGGCCGCACCCCAGAGTTGCTGATCTGGTGGGTCTGGGGCACTTATTCCAGGAAGCACACTTTGAGAACCGCTGTTTCTCATCTACCCGCATTTATGTCCCCAGCTAATTGAGGTCAGCAGTCTTAACCCCAGAATGCTGAGTGCCTGAAGGCTGGTGTGCTGGGCGCCACTAGACCAGTCCTGTCCAATGGAAACACCATGTGAGCTGCATATGTGAGAGAAAATTGTCTAGTAGCCACAGTAAGAAAAAAAGTCAAAATAAACAGGTGAAGTTAATTCAGGTAGTCTGTTTCAACCCAGTGAATCAAAAATATCATTTTAACGTGTAATCAGTATAACAGACCATTGATGAGATTTTTCACATCCTTATTTTCATACGAAGTCTGACTTTGTGTGTATGAATCCTACATTTCCAGTCCATCTCAGTTCAGACTAATAACATTTTGAATGCTTGATGGCCACGTGGGGCTGGCTGGTGGCTACTGTCCTTAAGCAGTGTAACTCTAGGACTTTCTCTTGCTCCTGGGAGACTCCCTCTTTCCTTTCTTAAAATGCGTTATTTTTAGGGACTTGTGAGAAGGTTTGTATTTCTTCAGCATCTTCCATGATACAGAGCACTTCCCGTGGAGTCACCAGCTCTGTAATCTCTACGTCTCGAGTAAGTTTCGATCTGTGTGGCTCATTGGTAACTATCCTAATGATGGGACGACAGTGGCCGAGCCCAGAGCTTGGGATTGGGTTGAAAGGAAAGTTTACATCAGTGTTCCTGGGGAAAGAAAGTTCTTTTCTCTAAGCTCTTCCTCAAAAGAAAAAAAGATCAGATTAAGGACTGATCAGTGACAGAATGAGGGTTGTTTTAGGGATGAAAGCTCAGGAAGAGAGAGCAGTGATTTTAGAAAGAAAGTTAGATAGTGGGGCAGAAGAAAATGACACCAGAACAACAACGTTCAGTACATGAAAGGTGGAGAGATATGTATGTATGTATGTGTGTGTGTGTGTGTGTGTGTGTGTGTGTGTGTGTATATGAAATCTCATTATATATACACATATATGGACTATTTAAGTACAATTTGCTTTGTTCCCTCTATTTAAATACTACCACAAGGAATTCTGTTCCTCTAATTCATGGATCATCGTCGCCTGGTGATGAAAGATAATAAGATGAGAACACCGACTTTTATGGGTTACTTTTCTCTTTTAACATGATGACATATGAACTGTAAGTCAAAATAAGTCTATTATAGGATGTGCACAGGACCTCGGAAACTACTAAAATTAATGAGTGCTAAACCTCAGACCCTAGAAATTAGCCCTTTAAATGCACTCATGAAGAAAGCAGAACTTTGAGTGAATCATCGGGGTCCTGCAATAAGGAGGTCGCAGTAAATGTCTGAGACCCACTGGCGCGCCACCCGGGTTCAGAGGAGAGTGGCTGCTCAGCTCTGCTACCTCCAGAAGGTGAGGACTTGTCTCTGAAGTGTTGGAGCTCTGTCCTCTCCATCCGTCTCTTTCAAATTGGCTAAAAACAAATACCATGTTTAAGTAGAGTAGCATTAAAAATCGGTGAAATCGTACATCCTGATATATGTGATAATGATAGTCTCTGTACAGCTGTGACGTTGGAGTTTTGCTGAAGACTTTTATCCCGGACTATTATTCTGTTCCTTTGTCACTCTGTCTTGTTTCAGTGTGAGATAACGCAGTGTGTACTTGAAACCATTTGAAGTGACTGAAGGGTTCCGAGCGGTGGTTTCTTCAGAAAAATTGGCATTTCAGAGAGATGTGTTTTACAGGGGATTCTCATGCCGCCGTGGCTCTAGACATTTTTCAGATGCAGCAAGCAGTATGGGTGCTGCCATATTCCCCCCTCTAAGACCCTGTGACGGTCTAGTGGAAGACCATTATGTAGATTAAAGAGCTAATGGCTTAGCTGAATGGCAGCTCTATATAAATACAGCATGTGGCAGTTATTTTAAAAAACAGGACAATTCTAGTTGGATCAGGCTTATTCCATTTAGTGAAATCAAACAGTATTTGAAGACATGGAAAAATAGAACATTAGAAGTCAGATTTCTAACCTGGGTTCTGATCTAACAAGCCACTTAATTTTCCCCAACTCTTGTTTTCCGACACATATATGAATGGTTTGAATCTTGTGAGGTTCAACTCTTCTGGAGTCAGGAACCTCTTCTTAAGAAACTACTACACAGGGAAATTTTTACAAGTCATTCAGGAGTTTCATGGGTCCCCTAAAGTCTAGGGGTTTCTAGACTTTTATTCGAACCCTGAATTAGTTAATCTCTTGCATTTTTTTCACCTTATGATTGGGAGAAGTCTGTGGGTGTGCTGTATGAACCTTTGTAGGCAGAAGCCTCTGATTCACAGATGGTGAACTTTTGGTGGATTGATGCTGTTCAGATCACACTTGCTCGACATCCTGGGGTAAGTGCCAGATGTAGGGTCTACTGATGACTAGAATTTCTGAAGAGGTGGCTGTGAAGCTAGGAAAGGAGCAGCTGGACTTGGCATTGTCAGACCCGGCTAGTCTGGAAACTTCCTTAACCCTTGTGGCCTCAGTTTCTCCTTTTGTATAAGGAAGGAAGAATATCTGTGGCATGTGACTTTATGGGGCATTTAAATGAAATAACAGACCATGACTTAACAGAGGTAAGTCAACTGCTAGATGGCAGTGAGCCTGGCGAATGCTTATCACGTGTTTACTTGCTGTTCAGACACTTCCCAGAGGGTTGTGTCTGGCAGACTATGGGTTCTTAGGAGGTGCAGACCCGGCAAGTCAGGGAAACTGCAGTGGCCTTGATGGGAACGGTTCCGTGGGACTGTGGGAACCTCTTCGTGTGTAACAGGAAACCACGGTATCTGGGGAGACCTCCTGAAAAGGGAGATGGAACTTGAAAATCGCTCTTGCCAAGGGAGGAAGATGGGCTTAAACTTTTGGAAAATCAGAGGCACTCTTTGGACCTGCGCTCTCCAGAGGGCTAGACAAACAGAAGTGTGTATCATTTTTGTACAAACAGATCCAGCAGGTTTCCATGGCAGTTTGGGTTGTCTGCAGACCTTCATCCCTGCTTCTGCAGTCTTCATTCTTCTTGCAGGGGTTGCGTCTAATGTCTTAGGTCTGGAAGGATGAAGTTCTTTTTCTCTCTTTGAAGTTTAATTTTAATTGTCTCTTTCTAACTTCTTATAATTTATGCATATTTTAAGCCATTGGTGAAACTGCAGTCTTGTTTATGGCCAGTAAGTGATTAATCTGTTTTGTTCTGCTTTTATTTTCAGATTGAAGAATTTCGAAGGCTGAGGACACATGCAAAAGGGGCAGAGCTTGTGGAAGGCTGTGATGGGATTTTGGGAGACAATTTTAGGCCCACTCAGCCACTCAGTGACAGAGTCATTAGAGCCGCGTTTCAGTAGCCGAAGAGAGCAGAAGCCGGTGCGTCTTCATCTGGGTATGTTCGGATTAAGCAAAGGAAAAGGAGGCACACACAGCTGAGCCTGTCACACCAAAGCGACTCTCATTGTCAGCGCACTTCATTTAAATCTAGGACACATTCTCAAGCCCCATTAATCACAAGTCAGGTGGTTCGTAAAAATTTCATGCCGTGTTGGACAGAAATCTACAGTCCTTATGTTTTCGAGCAGAGCAGCCTTTCATTCTAAGTTTTGCTCTAATATCGGCTTTCATAAGGGAAGGTGCCTGAGGCAGGGGAACAGTGACATGCAGTTACCTCTTTGGTACTTTACTATGTTGTCGCACCCTTGAAACCGCAACTGTCACCTCCTATTGATGGGGGAGCGTAAGGGAAGGGACTGGGGGACCTGTTGAGCCTCAAAGTGGCCCTTGTTGTTCGGTGCAGATTTGGTTGTCTTGTTTATCGGGGTAGGTAGGTGAGGGCAGATCTGGCATGAATGAAAATACTTGTCCTGTGGAAGTGCTTTTATTCGATAGATCAAGAAGCCCTTGCTAATTGTCTGAGTGTAGTATGTTTCTGTACTGATTAAAACCTAATCTGTACATTTTAAGATATCGAATTCAGTGTTTGTATTCCTTACCCTTAAGGACTAACAAAGTAAAACATCACAAACACGGAAAAGATAAACTATACATAAATGCCTCTGTACTGGGTTACTTTTTCACCTTGTAGGTTGCCCAAGGGCGTGTACCTAGGTCAGTGTGCGTTGCTGGGAAACCACTGCTTCTTGTAAGAGGGAAGCGTCTGTTGGGACAGTTTCCTAGGAGTCAGGTCAGAGCTCTGACTGTTTAATGGACCGTTAAGAGTATGTACTCTCATCCTGTGTGAAGGGTGCAATGGACCGGGGAGTCACAGAGGAACAGAAATCTCTGGCCTCAGGGAGCTCACAGTCTCATGAGCCAGACAGCTGATATAGGAATTTTAAAGGGTGATCACGTTGTCCATGTGTTTCCCTCTCCATTTTTCTTGCCCCTCTATTATTACTCTACTGATGCACCCAGTACTCCAGCCAATCTGTCTTTTCTCTTCGGTGAATGTGCTTTGCTCACCCAGTCCTTCCCCCCTTTCCTTTTGCTCGGTGAAACCCTAGCCGACTAGAGGCCCAACTTGCATATACCACCCTCAG